TGAAACTTCCCCGCACTTTTCAACATGTGACTCCCTCTTTTGGCTACCGTTCACGTTATTTTCAATGTCGCCTCCACTGGGCCCTTCTACTGTACAGACAGTCGACGCCATGAATGAAACGAACGACGCTGAGTGGGTTGAAACGGCGATTTCTGGCAGAAACATTTTCACTTCTTTTTTGGCATTCAGAAAGCCATTTAGCGGAAATGGACCATAGTTCTATACTCTGTGCTCTACACCATGCAAAAAACCATTTTCAAAAAGCGTCCCACGCCCTGAAAGACCTTCCTTGTGAGGGCTTAATTAGACTAACGGGATCTATCCTTGAATCCCTGTTCCGGTTTTTGAAAAGCATGATACCTCGAAATGAATTCCATGACCTACTACCAAGTGGAGCCGATGCAACACATTTGTCGACTTCAGTCATTTCACCCATCCTGAAATTCGTGTTTGAATCGAACCTGCACTTGCGAAATGTCGGATGAGCTGATTAGACTATTTCTGTTGTTCTTCGCCTATTCCCAATGTAGTGCATGAATCAGTTTTAGATGAACTCTATCCCCAGTGGCTTGACGACATTAGGTTCTTATTCCTTCACCAAAGAGAATCCGTTACCTTCGCCAAGCTTTTGTTAGTATCGCTATGGCCTACTGAGTAAAGATAATGAAGAAATACAAACTGTTACAGAAGGAATAGGAATATCTCTAAACCTCTCCAGATCTAGGAATCGATTTCCTAATTGACCTGTCTCATTCGCTTATCCATTTATTTTTCACTTCCATATACAATCTAATTATAACTTCGTGTGAAAAATAACCGAATTGATCGTGAAACGTACCTTACAAAAGTTTCCTCGATATTACCGTAGGTAATCCTATAGTCAAGAATATAACCCATTTGCTTTTCTTCTTCTAATTTCGTAAGGATCATTGGAAATCTATAAATAACAGGGAGGTTCACGAGTGAATTAATGTGAGGTTTATAATTTCCACGTTCGGTCTTATGGAGAGCTGGGAATGTCACTTAGTGTTTCAGTATGCTATGCCGTACGCTATTATGATACATAGTACCGCTCCACTAGGTCGACGTTTCGAACGATATGTCGACTTCAAGTGCGCGGAAGTTGTTCGTAGCTTCTGATATATGGCTTACCCACCAAGCGCCCAAACGCACAGACTCGGTGCATCAACTTCTAGAAAATCGAATAACATCGAAGGTCCTAGCAGAAACTAATCTGCTGGGGTTGCAACAGCGTTGCCACCCACTCGATTCCGTGAACAACAGGGTACCAAACAAACACCATCGACGGCCCTGCGTTAAGAACTTCGCGGTGACCTAAAAGCCGACAAGAATGAATAAATGGTAAAATGTCACTCGTTGTTGCGATGCACTCGTCTTGCATGCTCAGCTCAGGATCTCTCGTGCGGATGTGCAACGCTTCCAATACCTTTCTAACACCGATCTCAATTTCGTAGGCTAAGATCTACATTCAATACAAAAATCATTGCCCTGATGTTCTTCAAGTCGACGCGTCCCAAGTGGCATGAATAAGCTCATACGGCTTTTACCTACTAGATGTTCTCTGACGCTCTCTTCCCATGCCCGGTTCCCTTCCCATCTCATCGATATAAATCACGTCGTAGTCTGAACGCTGAAATTAGTACACCGTCCCTCGCTGTGCGCAATCTACATCTCTTCCAAACGAGCAACGGGGTTGTCCATTTTACACTCACGATCATGAAGCCCATTGCGGATTTAATTATGTTTGATATGATCTACTGGTTGGATTACCAAGACAACATCATTCGCCAGATCCGCTCACGCATTGCAGTGCGGGATTTCTGGGCTGACTTCAAATGGTATAGATGGAAGCTAGAGATGCACTATATTCTCATGATTCTCGGCTAGTAGCCCGGCAAGCCTGACTTCAAGGGTTGGGTCCCGTAGCCATTCAAGCTTGCAATCTCAGCTGCTATCTTACATGACTTATGCCGTTCCACTTCGCCTGTGCACATGCCTGTGTTCTGTACATTTAACGAACTGCACGTTGACAGCTTCAGGGTGAGCGATCACTGCGTGATTTTTGCGCCGTCATTTTTTGAGCTATCTTTCCCATCGACTTCACGCTCTACCCACCATTTGATATTTTTATTTACATACTAAGATGAGGGAGCCAGCCTTCGCACGGTACCTCTCTTGTGAACTTGATATGCTAAGGCTACCGGTTGGGGATGTTGAATAATTCATCCATATCTTGTTGCGTTGATGTAGCTACAGAGCAATTATCGATGTACCGACAGTACATAGTACTCGTGCGGGTTATAACTGGTCTTTTCACTGTGCCCAGAATGTAGCTAAGAGCTGTACTAGCAGCTGATCCATAGCATCTCCACGGTTTTGAGAGAAGCACAGCTCGCTCCCCCTGAAAATGTTAACTCGGGTTTCAAAGCCAAAATGTCAATCTTGCTAATCCGAACGTCACAAGTCCTATTTCATGCTCATCCAGCATTTCGAAAACGACTTGGAGAGCTTCATTGTTGTTTACTTCGCTGAAGGGCGGTTACTTCGACCAAATCTGCTCTCTTTCAGCAATTTCTGCAATTTCTTGAAGCATACATGAACGCAAGTAAACAATAAATCCTTTAGTGTTAGGCAGATGATGGTGCGCATCAGAGAATTTGGTAAACCCGTAGGACGAAGCTGGATGTACGGTCCTTGATCCTTTTACTGATGAGGGGTCTTATTCCGTCGCTCACTAGCATTAGTAACTAATTTTTCATCCCCGTTGGATAAATTTTGATCTAGATAAGGCTCTAGGATACCGTAAATTGAAGGGGCATTCAACATCAACCTTCCAATCAGCCCTCTATCCAATTTTGCCACTCTTCCGATTAATACTTACAACGAATTCAGTGTGTGACATTGTGTGAGAAGCGCCTTTTCAGTAGAGTAAAAGTATACTTAAAAATATCATTAGGGTGGAGTTTTGTTATTTCCCGATCCAGTGAAAGAGATAGAACCAAAAACTCTTCTCCCTTGTCACTCACGAAAGGCTGGCTTTACCATCCGCTACGCGCTTTCTATCTCTCGCAATCCTTCCCACTGAGTTCTCATCATACTTGAGAACCATTTATGCCTACATCTCTTGAAAATTTCGATTACTCCTGATGAAAGTACTCGAAACTTCATGTATTTTATGGAGAAAGGTTTCGGTTCTTCATAGAACGAGCACGAATTGAAACAGGCGGCAACACTGATTCTGTGCTAGCGCGCTGTGCTGTCTGTCTCGTGTCTTTGTGCATTGCATTCATTCTAAGCAGACCTTTCAGTCGATAAAGCCCTGTTACCACCTAGCGGTACGTGGAAAGTCCAATCCCTTGGATAATCGAAAACGATGGCTCAAGATTGAGGAAACTCAAAGCTTCCCCCGACATCGATGCGTAACAACAACGATAAATCTTGAATTTGTTTCCTTCTGTTCAAAGAAAGCAGGCAAGAGCAATTGTTATTGGCAGCACAACACTATCGCAAGAAGCTTTAGATTTCCTCAATCTTGGGCCATGGTTTTCGATTACCCTGGAGGCCAAGTACTGCTATGCGGTAGCAGGACTTCATCAACTGAGAGGTCAGCTTAGAATGGATGCAATGCGCAAAGACATGAGACAGACAGACCAGAGTGCTAGCACAGTATCTGTGCTGTTACCTATTCCAATCCCATGTTCGTCAAGTGAAAAACCGGATTTTTCCCCCATGAAAGACACACAGTTCCGGGTTCTTCCATCAGGAGTGCTCGGAATTACCAGAAGACATAGGCAAATGGTTCGCAAGTATCATGAAAGGTCTAATGGAGGGATTGCAAGAGATACGAAAGCGCGTATCAGATGGTGAAGTCCGTCCTTCCGTGAGTGACATAGGAGGAAAGTTCGTGGTTCCACCTCCTTCACTAGATCGAGAAATCACAAAACTCCACCGTAATGATACTTCAGTATACTGTCACTCCACTAAGAAGGCGATCCTCACACAATGTCACAGACTGAATGTATTGTGGGTATCAATCGGAAAGGTGGCAAAACTGGACAGAAGATTGTTTGGAAGGTTGAATTGGAAAATTGGATACACCGTTGAGCCCGGTAGAAATAAATTGACCAGGGGAGGTGGAAAATCAGTTAATGCCAGCGAACGATGAAATAAGTTCCATTACCAGCTGTGAAGAAGGACCAAAGGACCGTATCTCCTGGTTACACAACAAAAATGTTGACCAACTTCTCCCAAGTCCCTTACGCCTTCCTAACTTTAACGATTTTTTGGTCACTTGCGTTTATGTACGCTTCAACAAACTGCGTAGTAGAGCTGTTTAACTACATGTGTTCATGCGGAAGTAAATAACAACGGAGCTCTTCAAGCCGTTTCTGAAATGCTTGGTGAGCATGAAATAGAAATTGTGACGTTCGAATTGAGCAAGGTTCACCTTATGACTTTGAACAAGGAATGCCTTAATTGTAACATTTTGAATGGAGCGAGCAGTACTTCTCTCGGAACCGTGGACCTGCTATGGGTCAGATGCTAGCATAGCTCTTAGCTATCTACTTTATGGGAGCAGTAGAAAGGCCAGTTATAGCGCGCATGTCCATTATGTACTGTTGGTACATCGATGACTGCTGCATAATTACATGAACGCAGCAAGAGATGGATGTATTGTTTGACGTCCCCAACCAACAATCACAATATATCAGGTTCACGAGAGAAGTTCAGCACAAAGGCTGGCTTTCATATCTTAACATGCAGATAAACATGTCAAGTGCTGGGTACAGCGCGAAGTAATATTGGAAAGATCGCTCGAAGAGCATCCTAATTCACGCAATATTGACTCGACCTGGAACTGTGAAACGTGCAGTAGATCGTAGAATGTACAGAACGCTACAGGGATGTGCACAGGCGAAGTGGAACGGGAGTAGTCACGTAAGCTAGCAGCTGATATTGCAAGCTTTATTGGCTACGAGACTCAACACGTGAAGTCAAGCTTACCGGGCTACTAGCCGAGAATCGTGAGAATATGGTGCATCCAGTTTCCATTCATACCATATGAAGTCAGCGCAGAAATCCAGCAGTGCATTGCACGAGCCAGATTTGGCGAACGATGTTATCTTAAACTTACCAGCGGACAATATCAAACGTCATGTAAGCGCAATGGGATTCATGATTGTGCGTGTACGATAAACAACTCCGTTATATGTTCGTTTGGAAGAGATGGAGATTGCACACAGCGAGTGACAAAGTTCCTCGCTGGTGTTCAACTTCAGTGTTCAGTTCTAACGTAATATATGTATATTGGTGAGACGGGAAGGGTGTGGGCATACGCCTCAAAGAACATATAGCAGTAAGAAGGCGTCCAAGCCTAGTCATGCCATTTGGTAGGACTAGGCTTGCATTTAATATAAGGAGGATCGTCCTGAAGTTCTCCTAGGCGACTAGGAGAACTTCTGGACGATCCTCCTTATATTAAATGCAAAGCGCTACCCTACAAGAATGAGATCGGTGTTAAAAAGGCAACGGAAGCGTTGAGCATCCGCATGAGAGAATATGAGCTGAGCATCCAAAACGAGTACATCGCCACAACAAGTGAACCTCTACCATTTTTCCATTTTTGTGGGCTCTGAGATCACCGCGTAGTTCTTATCTCACGACCTTCGATGGTGTCTGATTTGTTCTTTGTTGTTCACGGAATCGATTGGGACGGCAACTGGTAGGTCGGTATCAGGAGCTCCGAATCACTTTCAGGTTCTTGAAGACTTCAAGTTGTTAGTGACGTCGGCTTATTAGTACGGCCCTATCAAAACAAACTTGTACGGCAAAGCATTGTGAAACATTACACAGCTTTTCCATTCAGAATTACAAAAAAATGGTGGCTACACTTAGTACCGTTTCCGGATATGTCGGAAAATGACTTCCATATCTTTTTTGCCTACGCTTTGGAAAGGCCGTTAAACCTATCCCAATGTTTGCCTCTAGATGACCCGCAGTATTGATTAGCGCAAGTGTGACGCATGCGTCGCGATAGTGGCGGCAGGACGAGATGTCGCGCACAGCCCTATCTATGTTCGTCACTAAATACATCTTGAAAAAAAAAACCTACAACTGTAACTGTAACTTTGGTAAATCGATCTTCAACTGATTTCCTTGCTTTGAGCGAACTTTTGAGCCGGCAACCATTGAGATAATTCCCTGTAAACACAAATATAATCACATCACCTATTGATGTGCTGAGTACCATGCGTACCTCTTCAATTCTTGGGATAGTCTTTGTAGCATCCTGCTGAGAAATCCTGACATCCAAGATATATTCTTTCATGAATCTTCAATAAGTCTCTGCTTTACTTTTGAAACATTGCTTATTTCAATTTGCTTTTTGTGGGAGTAGCAAAAGATTAGCAAAAGAAAAGGGCTGGACTTTTTGGCTCTCTCCTTCAGGCTGTTTTGATGTTCGATTCCAAGTTTCAATAATTAATTCTAAAATAGATTTCTCGTATTCTGGAGAGCTCAAGGCTAAGTCAATTTTGAAATGACACATCACCCCTGCCTTATCGATTACCGCACGCGTGAGTCATGCGTCGCGATAGAGTTCGCAGGACGGGTCATGTCTCAATCACAATCATCACAAAGGGAACATGCTCGTTAGGCTTGGCATTAGCTGAGAGTATCCCGAGTATTGCCTATCAGGTCGAAGAGTACACAGGTGGACCTCTTTAGGAAATTAGCATAAATAAAGATTTAAAGTGGAAGTGTAGTCTGAAAAGCTAATGATTGAGTAATTGAATAAAACTTACGAGCCTTTGACGAATTGAATATCACCGCTACAGACGGTTCTGCCCATAAACATGACGTACATCTGGTGTCCCATGGATTCTGCATCTTCCATATTTTGGGTGGTCAGCAGTATTGTTCTGTAAATAAAATTGGGAATAGGCTAAAGTTTGAGTTGAGATGAAATAGATTGCGGAGTCAGGCGTCGATCGAATTTTGCAATAGGGCAACCAATGAGCCGATCAAGACAACTTTGAGATTCTTTCCTATTTCCACCCCCCCCCCCCCCNGATTTTTTTCTTTTTCCCCCCCCCCCCCCCCCCCCCCTGTCTCCGTCTTCTCCCTCCTTCCATCCAAACCCATCTCTTTGCATTCTATGGCGGACACGACTTCCTCTTCCGGTTAGTATCCGAAACATAGAAGCTGAAGAGACTTCTCCCCTGCGTACACGTACCTCGATTGTTTTTGCGATTGAACAAGATCTTGAAGGGCTTTCTTTGCTGTGTAATCCATACCAACGGTTGGTTCATCCAACAATACAACACGGCTCCCACCAATAAATGCAATAGAAACGCACAATTTTCGTTTTTCCCCTTGTGAAAGTAACACGGCCTTCTGAAAAAATTGTCACACTTTTGGAAGAAATCATACGAACAAGTGGATCTGCACCAATATAAAAGTAGCTTCTAGCAGACCAGTTCCGATCAACAGACTCACTTTGTCTTTGAAGTCGTCCATACCGAGCTTGTCCGTAAGTGTGATAGCCTCTGATTTCCATACTTTCTTATCCCGTTTCTTTCCAGCACGCTTTAGCGAATAAAAAAACCACAGATGTTCCATAGCTGTGAATGAGTCATACAGTATGTTCGCTTGTGGGCAATATCCGATTTTCGAACGACAAAATGATGTTTTGTGGAAGATGCCTTTATCGCATATTTTGACACGACCTGAATGATACATTTCAGTTTAACTTCACAGAGGTTATGTTGGAAATAATTTTTTCAACCAGTGAACATCGTGAATTTTACTACTTATACATGCCCACCTTCTGTTGGCCTGACCATTCCACAAATCATTTTGAGAACAGTAGTTTTTCCGCAGCCACTGTGTCCGAGAAGAACGGAAACCTAAATACATCACTTTGATATTGGCTAGGAACCGAATATAACTCTATCACAGATGCCTCCGATTTGGTGTACCAAGTGCTTCTACTCCTTCAATTCAGAACATAGTGGCTTCCGAATAAATTGTGCGGTGATATGTGGGGCCAATAATAACCAGAACTGTTATACTCCTAGTCAAGTCTGGTACCCAAGAACCGATCTCGGCGGCTCCGCGGTTGGAAGGCTTGGGAAAGCACCATTCGGGACAATTGCTGGATCGTTAGGGCACATACAGTAGCGCTCAAAAGTCTTCGGTGAAACGCTTCGGCGCTTTTTCGTTCATAACTCTTTTCTTAGTGAACCAAATGGCGCGAAATTTAGACATGTTCAACTAGAGCATACTTCACCCTATCCAACACTATTTGACTGCAAAGCTGCAATATCCTCAGATAGAGCAAGGGGTTTGTTCCGGTAGCAGATTTTGCTAAGAATAAAGTTGTTGACGTCTGCACTTATTCGCACCTTATGTGCGTCTTTCTCATCTATTGTTTTCGACGTTACCGCTCGCACATTTCAGACATGACAAAAAGAAAAGAGATTCTAGAAAGACCATCATCTGTATTTGCAGTCGATTTTATTTTCATGCCCTTTGGAATATCTGGAACATGATCAGATTGCAGGTTAATAGTGGTAAATATTCACAATACACCCACGCTCCAAATATAGAAATTTCGCATGATTAGATCCAGTAGGAAAGGAGTTACGACTGAAAAGTACGGCTGATGAAGCATTTCACCGAAGACTTTTGAGCGCTACTGTAGGTCTCCCCAAGCTCTCGACCCAAAATCAGAGTGGGGTGAACAACTATGTTTTCAATGCAGCAAGTCGCTATGTTTACTCTAAAATATAGAAATTTAATCGTGAAATATTTCCTTTTCACTTGTAACTGGGTCAGTAGTGGGTAGGATAAAAGGGCAATTCATCGAGCTGTTCTCAATTACTACATGATTTCAAGGTATGATCTGAAGGTCAAAGCAACCCCACACAGGAAATGGAACTCGTGATTACTCGATCATATGAACTTATTTGGAGGATTCAATTATGAGAAGTCGGGAGATAACGTTGAACAGCACGCAGCGCATTGGGGCGACTAGTCAACTACCCTGTAAATCAATTTGGAAACGATGAACCTCTTCAGGGTAGGCTCTGATTTCGAAACGGTACACAGCCACTTCGCCGCTGGTCTCCCAAACTTTTGACAGATCTTCGGCGTCAACGTCCGCAGGGAACGGCCGTACTTCTTCGTCTTGATGCCATGAGTGTCTCTCGGACTGACTTTTCAGTTGTTCCTTAAAAAACGCTTGATTGGGTTTGGTACTTGATCAAAACCGTTAGAAGCACTGCGGTTTTTCATTGCTGAGCCTATATATTGCACCTCTGTTGCTTGCCTGTGAAGGGTGTAATTTTCTCAAACCCCCATGCCCTGTAAACGAAGCACGCTGAGAGCTTTCGCACTCTCATCTGGTCCCTGCTTTCAGGGTGGGGAAGTGGATGATAGAGTAGACGGAGTCCTCGCAAGAAGTTTCAAACAGTTCGTAGCAGAATTGGAGTCTTCATTTTGATGTTCTTATAATAGACTAAAATGAAAATTCTAGGGCGGAGCAGTTCTATTTTAGTGTGTATCCTTGCATTTGGATTGTAAAGGGCTTCGACTGCCACCGATGTACATAATAGTTTGAGGAAGTCCGTCTATGTACGAATTAGCGTTTTAATTATACCGGAAAAATTCGGTAGCCAATGGCCACCGATCGACTTTTGAGGGTGGGTAAGCGCCGTGGTCGTGGAAATACCGATCTGGAAGTCGATCTTCTAGACATACTTGTGGTAGGAGCAATAGCTAGCACTACTTCACATTTACCTACAAAGGTCTGATATCAAAAATAATGAAAATGGGAAAAGTTCAGGTCGAAGAGGGCTTCTATCTGCTCATAGTTGTAAGACGCCCCTTGCGCCTTTTGCCTTCAGCCATTGTTCGGTTTTTTAAAATGTATTTGCTTGAATACTAACCAGTTTTTTCTTCCTCACAATCGTAAAGACATCCGCGAATAATGCACACCATTCCATCGAATCATACAATATCAAAAACGTTAAGTAAAGGATTATGTCTAATATCATAAAGCACAGAGATACGCCCGGATTAACAATGTCGCTATAGGTGAACATATTGGACAATGAAAGGGGATTTCCTGGAATTCAACATATTTCTGGCCGAATTATGGGCAGTTAGTGTGGAAATGGTATTTTTACCTCGTAGTTCGAAGTGTTCACATGATTCAAGGATGTATTTGAACGAGGCGACGATATTCAGCTGATAGAGGCATACTAACCAATACGAGTAATGTACAGGTGGAGACTTCACCGCGAGATATACAAGGATTAGCCACAGAATGAATGCGACTGAAAGTGGAAAATTATGCAAAGCGTCGGGGTGGTTTGCCTTACTCAGCATGGGTATATCCACCAGCCAATTGGATTTGCCAGGGGGCACCGAACACGCTCCCTAGAGAGAAAGAAAAATTTCCATCCGATGACCCACGTTTTATAGCTCCAACAGTGTTCGGAATTACTGTGCCGCAGAGTACTCCAAGAATGACCGTACCGAATGTCAGAAATATCAGAACAAAATAGATGGTCCCGAGCGGCATTTCCTTGAAAGGGAAAGTTGGTCAAGAAAAGATGAGAATGGGTATAGAATTAATTTTCACCGTTTCTCGGTGCTCTACAGGAAACTGCCAAGAAAATACTTCCTATCAATCCTATACGCGTTTATATAGTTATTCTCTACTTGATTTTTATCAATTCGTCTAACTGGAGGTTGATGAGAAAGAGAATTTTGCTCTTTATGTTCTACCGCTCTTATTGAGAAGTCAATTACCTGGCTGAAAATCAATGGGACAACAAATACGGTCGATACGCTAACAAATGCTAAAATGAAGTTGCATAACAGAGCTGCTAGCAGTATTAACCATCGGCCTGTATTTATCACCAGCAAGAACTCCTGTAATGAAGAGGTTCTTGACGACAAGTTTCGGATTGAGATCCGAACGCGAAATGGAATGAGGAAGAGATTTGGGAAAAAACAAAACTGCTAAAGAGCATCTTCTGAGGCAGGCGACAAAAAAGTGCCTTTGGAGCGGCACACACCTAAGCCGTCGCCGTTTCGAAATAATTCCACCGTGCACGGCAGCTTCGAATATTCGTGACAGGACCTTTTGGATTTTGTGGGTAAAAGTGAAGGGTCCTGGCACGACCAACCAAATTTGCTGAAGCCCATCTAGTTTCCATGCGATGGTATGTGCAGGCACACAAACCAAAATAAGAGGGAGGATGCCGTGACGGATGAATTGGAAGATCGGATCAAGGGGTAAACATATAGACTTGGGGCATTAGTTAACCCCGTCCTAGGTATGCGCCCCCCGTTCAGAATCGTTGCGGTATTGAATGCGTATTTAGCTTATAAAACGACTTGGTGGCCAGCTCATGTACACGTTAGTGATTTTATCCCCCCAGACGATCTGGCACCAATTAATCGACCCCGCGGGAATAGAAGGCTTGGTTTGTCTAGACGGATAACGGTGCAAGATACGACCATAAGCGTGTGATAGTGCCCCATTTGCCACTACATCACCAGGAAGATGGGATACTGTAGTCTACTTTTGAGTAATATGTCTTTAGACTTATGCTCTTTCACGATTGTAAGAATTATAATAATTTGCTTGATTTCTCCGACACCGGCGGCGTAAATTTCAAGGGGAAGGGAATGGGTTGACATTACCTTCATCTTCGCATCCCACGCTACGTTAAATGCTACAGCAAGTATGATAACTGCAAGCTGACAGAATACCACTGAAAGAGATTGGTTAGTGTTTTCAAAGATTCGATTATAGGTACATTTTTCTAAATTTTCTCTCTCTTATGATCGGTAGAGGATCTCTCCAACTCGAAGGGAGAGTGAAGGGGTGGACGGAGTAGGAGGGGGAGGAGTATGTCGATTCCACGCTATTAATAAGACCCGGCGTAGAAGAAAACAGTGTTTCCATTAGGCAGCTGTGCATATTTTGCAGAACCAGATGAGTATGATCCATGGAGCTACCTCCCTCACACTGTGAATGGAGTAGACAATGAAGCAGAAGACTGCAGAGTATCGAAAAACCTTTTTGAAGTGTGCCATGTCTTGACTATGATTCAGGATCGTGAAGATGGTCTGTTTTAGGGGCATGATAGCTGATTGTCAGTACCCCCTTTTGTTCTTTTTGAAGAATGCAGTTCACCATGAGTGTTCATATTTGAGATGGGTAAGAATGAAGTGGGAAAGACCGGAACGGTCTCGTTTCCCAATGAAGCTTCACATACAGGATTTTACATAAAAACGACTATGCTTTCACGATTCTCACGACTCTAAGAACTCGTCGCTGAAAATGAAAACATACCCATTTGGAAAAGAAATATTTCAGGCATTCTCGAAGTCTTCTTGAAGGAAATCGAAGTGATGGAAAATAATGGGCGATTTCCGCCTTCAAACTCTTTCTGTAAAATTTCATTGTTTACTCAGTCAACTATTTCGTTAGAGGATCTCTATCGGAAGCCTTCAGTTCAAAAATGCATCTCTTAAGTGGACCCAACTGCGCTTTCTTGTCAGGGTTGTTAGGCATTATAGGCCGTTTCCTTGTGCGACAAGCTTCTTTAAAAACATGTAAAAAACTGGCGATGTCATATCTATGTAGACATCCTCCCAGACTAAACAGGAATGTATCTAATTCAATATCCCCGATTAAATGGACTACTGTTTGGGAAAGATTCGATGCCGCAAGCAACTCAATTGCTGAAACGTCATTTTACTCACCTGCACAAAATTCCTTATAAAGAATTCGTTGATACACTGTATAAGAGTTAGATCGTCATGCTTCAATATTCGCCTCGTGTCTCTCATCTCCAAGATTTCCATGTCACTAAACGATAGGTGTAAATCTACGTAATTGCAGTTGTATCCCTACTATAGAGAAGTTGAATGCCTTTCTTGAAAGATTTTGCACCATTTTCTCGATTTATGGATCTATTTTATCATTTGCACGGGAAACTGTTGCACTTCATAGTGAAAATTATGTAACTCATAGAAGGGGGACAGTTCCACGTTGTTCAATTCATTTTTGGGATGCATCCCACATCCTGCGTAGGTAGCCTATGTAACAATGACTTTTGGTGGCCGACCGATGTACTAGTCAGTGCTTCGACCCTCCCATACGTCTGGTACAGTCTGGTATTCACCATCGACCCCGAAGAAATGGAAGATTGGTGACTTGAGTGAGTATCGACATAGCATTCGTCCTCATGGCTGTGCGTGGGAAAGTGTGCGCCCCTTGCCACTACGCCACGGGGGAATGTACCATAGCGAGGATGAAACAAAAAATCTCTGAGTTTCCTAATCATGTTCCTATAAATACATTATTTTTTCGTTTTTTCAAGAAACATGACTAGATCATTTGAATTGAGCCTGATTCGATCTGATCTGCGCAATCAGGCTGCTTTCATAGTAGGCCGGCGTGCCGGCGTGCCAACGTGCCAGCCGAGGTAGTGCCAGGGGGACGGAGGTAGGCAGGCGATCGGTTCTGCCTCCCTCCTCCCCCCTACCACTACCTCTGCTGGCAAGCCGGCTCGCCGGCGGACTATGAAAGCAGCCCAATTGCGCAACTTCTGCTGCTATAACTATCAATAATTACTTTTGCTTAATGCTCTTCTTAAAAGGACTTATCTAACAATGGGAGGTTCTTATTTTACCACCTGCAGCAAATGTTTCAATAACTTTGATAATTTACTGGTTAATGCAGTATTGTTTTGATTGCATCGAGCACATCTACCTGAGTAGTCCTTTCTTCAGATTGAGAATGTCCTTTTCAGTAGCATATGACGAATGTACGACGTATTGTAGGGTTTTGTCTTGCATTTTTTGAAATTCTAATCCGTAAACAGCCCTTTAAAGTTAGAGTTACGCAGTAAAAGGCAAAGCTGATCTTTATAAAGACGTACTTCTTTTCCGGTTCCGATAATGGTTCTTTCGCTTTAGCCTTCTGAAATAGTTTTAATAATGCACAAATATCCCATTTTGATTGGAGCCTCTAAGAATTTCGCAATCGAATCTCTCTTTGCTCTACAGGATCGCAGGAACCGCATTAGGATTAAGTGAGTTCATGAATTCTAGCGAAGAAGTACCAAAGTCATGACACAATAATGGCCAGTTGCCAAACACATCAATAAACAAACAATATAAGTAACTCGAGTTATTTGTTCCACCAGTAGTTGCTATACCGAGGTGTTTTTTCACATAGCGGAGTGATTGGTTGACACTAGCCAGAAGAATTCAAGTTCAACAACAACTCACCATTTCCCTTTCAGTCATGCTGGAATGAAAGTTCTATGAATAAAATGACATTGTCTTAACAAATTATTTATCTTACAGGTTATTTCTAGTAAATATAAACAACAAAAAGAAAACATAGAGTAGAGCCCTTGGTGGAATGGACCTAGCGATAAAAGTCTGGTCCAAAGGGCGAAAAACCCATTTTCGGTCAAGAAAGTTTACCGTAACTCTAGAAAGAAGCCATCGGTTTCAAACTTATGAATTGTAATATATGTATATATATATTGTATATCTGAAGTTCTTTTGGAAGGATACAGTAATGTTCCACCTTCTGTAAAGATGCTGTAAGCTATAGCGTTTAAGGGGTGTATCAGGTTGCTCAGCAGCTCTTCAGTCGTCCTGGTCTCGTAATTTGAGTATCTCTGACCATTAGGAGGAAGAAATTCTGCCCACAATTACCTTGCTGAGCTTTCTAGAGTTTCGGAAGTTAGATATCTTGTATACTTGGTACTCTTTCTTCGAAAAAGAGTATGGTGCCAGATTTATATGATTCTGTACGGAATTATCGTGTTTTCGAAGACTCTTGTATGGATACCGGACTTAGTCGAGCAGATTTTGTTTACGCTTTCAACTCGCAAATAAAAAGTAAATGTTCGCCACTTTGTCCCGCTAATTTACTGGTTTTTTGACGATTCCTTAATACACTACCACTTCTCAATTTGATTTTCATCTTACAGTCTTAATTTATTTCACTACGCCTGCGATATCAAAAGCTTTCTCCCTTCAGCAGAAAGATAAATTTGTGATCCGAATAGTAGATAGCCAGTGCGTCACACATTCGATGTCCATGCTGAATCACAGCGACAGTTAATGGCGTGAAATGAATTTGGTCGGGCGATGGGCAAGTCATGGCTCCAATGCTCCCAGACGTATTTCAAATTAGATGACCTAGTCTAGAGAATTCCGAAGAGGGAAGTTAGTTCACTGAAGCGCGATCGAAAAGGGAATTGACACAGGGACCATGCGTGCTTACCGCCTCCACTAATACGACTCACAGCTGTACTGCTGAGCAGTAAGTGGTGGATTTCTGCTAATTGTGTGATACATTTTTGCATTGAATTTGATTCATAATAAACAAAGTCTAAAGTTTCTGGCGTTAATCAATCCCGTCCGAGGGATGCGCCCCCGCACTCGACTTCCATTGAAAATCGTAGTGGCTGCTTTCATAGTCCACGATCTGGCGAGCGACAGATCGCGCGATTGGTCGCTCGCCAAAGTGGACTATGAAAGCAGCCAGTGGCGTAATGAGTGCGTAAGTGGCCTATACAATGGCTTGGGGTGGCCAGCCGATGTACAAGTCAGTGGTGCTTTCATCCTCCCAGATGAGTCTGGTACCAGTTAACGTACCCGGAGGGATGGAAGGCTGGTTGACCTAGGCGGATATCGATCCAGGATTCGAACCCCTGACTAAGCGTGACTGACTGCGAAATTTGATTTATACCAACCATAATAAATATCTATGAAATTATTATATTATAATAGTTATGAAATATATTTATTTCATTAAATTTCGGTACTTACATTGCTTCCAGTTGCTCGTATAGCTCTTTTGTGCTATTGAGCTCTTCAGTTTGCTATAAATGAAAAACGATTAGGAGTAAATAGATAGGTAAGTATAAAAAAACAGTGAAATTTTTCCAGCGTAAGGCTGTTTGGGAATAATTAAAACTGTCCCCACTTCAGCTGAAATCCTACCCACTGTGGTGTGATTAACTGCAATTCTTTATTCCCCTTAAATTCGTCTAGAACCACAGAGCCATCCGATAAGAGATGCAATGGAGTTCGACGCTCAAGGTAAGCGACCACAAGGAGCCCCAAAGGAGGGATGGCGGGACGTGACCAAGAAGGACCTCGCCGAAGCCAAGGTGACGGCAGAAAATGCCGTAGAAAGAATGAAATGGAGACGGCTGACAAGAACGGCGGCCTGAGACCGCGGGATTAACGCTAAGGAGAAGAAGAAGAAGAAGACTTAAATTCGTTCGGAACCGTTGACGAATTTTTTTTCATAAGCCAGATGAAGCTGAGCAGAACTGGGACAGAATGCGACAGGTGGGGGTCGGGAAGTGCCAACGCAGTTGAAAGTATAAAGTCAGCATGCAATGACTCCGAAAAAGAAGTTCTGTTCATTGTTTATTAGCAAAGTGGCAGAAGTGGAATTACGTTTGTGGGAGTTCTGCATTAGTAGAGCCTACCTAATCAAAGCGCCCATTTGAAGGCCCTTTGAATTCAATCCATAGCAGCCTTGATCCCTTGTCCAAATATGCCCCTCTCACTAGCAATTAACATCCTTACCATCCCTTTCACCAGGCTTCGACGGTGTTCTGACAATTAGAACAGCCATGCAAAACTCACATTCCTTTTGTTTGTATTTTATTTAGGGTAATTAAATGTAATCTCTCACCATTCCACTATTATCGATTAGGGTTTCAAGAGCAGTCCTATTTTTTACATTGTTTCTGAAATAAAAAATGGAAATAAAAAGTGGAAGATAAGAAGTGGTTGGAAATATGGCTGAGGTATGTATGGGTCAGGGTGCGCCAGTGAGGTCACCTTGTCGAACCTTCATTGTTGAGCGCAGTCAAAGCCCGATGCTCATTGCGATCAAAAGTGATGAGCAGCCAATTTTGAAGCTGGTGACCCAGTCTTGACGAGGTCACCACAGTGGCGCCTTCTTACCCATGCCCGATAAGGGAATATATGGAAAAATGAGCGGTATACTTGTCGCAGTTTCTGTGCATTTGTTTTAGAGCCAGGGTAATGAAAATATGAGGATGAGCAGCGAGTTTTTGAGTGAGATGAAGTACACTTTGATTCGCAGCGAGAGCGGTATGATTTGGGAATCAATCAGAAATGAGGATTCTCCGAGGAGACTGTTTTAGGAGGTATTCAGAAAAGTTGCCCTAGCGAAAGATGAAGCTCATCTTTTGTTGAACTTATTTTGTTGTTGTTGTTGTTGTTGTGGTTGATTGGTTTCCGGTTTCTAATTTGTTTTTTGCAAAAAGAACATGATTCAAATACTCACACATAACGGAAGAACTTATTCTGACAAATCGGTGCTGAGAAATCTTGCGTCGGCTCCAGAATCAGAGTCTCTGTACGATTCCTTTCTATCTGAAATTTTTTGTCAAATATCTGGAACACGGAGCTTACGAGTAATCAAGAGTAAAGCTCAATGGTGGCGGAAAAACGAGGAAATCTTTAGAGGTTTAGAAAAGCTTCAAGAAGTAGTAAAAAGGTTGTACGACGGCAGTGGTGGCATGCAAAAGTTGTCTACTGCTGCCGCCATGGATTATGACTAGCTTTTTACATTTGAGTGGGTTATTGAGCCTTGTCCAGAACTTTTTTGGACCCCCTACTTCTCCATGTTAAGAGCCATTGGGACCACGAAATCGTCTCAGGAAGTTAACTCCGAAACCATTTTTATAGTGAACTGTGCCATCAAGTTCACTTCTGATAAAGAAATGTAGTAAAGGCCGATAATTGGTCAATGATTAATCTTTGTTTTTGTAAACATGAGCAACACTGCTTTGGAGAAAACTTGTCATTTCAAAAATTTGTGGTGGTCAGAAAGGGTTTATGTGTGTAGTACAACCTCCACCTGCTCCCCATACTCTTTCTAGCTCTTTCATGGGACCGTTGAATGGAATGAAAGCCTCGTTGAAGCCTTTCTTCAGTTCAACCTTCCGCCACATTTTCGTGTCTTGTATAGTCGTCTTGATTCCGGCTACGAGATACCCTTTAAGCTCAGGTCTCTCACCTCGTGGGGTTATCAATGAGGCGTAATCAGGGAGCCTGAGAATTTGTTCGAGGTAACAAGTCAGTAGACCTAATCCGTATTGCTTTATGTCACAAAATGAATAGGGATTGATTCATAGGTTGTCATACATTTATAGAATCACCAGCAAAGGCTTTTCGACATACCTCCATTCCCATATAGACCACTGTCATCAGTGGCATACCGATAATAATTGGCATAAATAATTGAAATGATGTCCAAACGTAATGCCTTCCTGCTAACATAGCATTTTTCCTGAAAATGACAACCATGGCAATTGTCTTCTTCTACTACAACGTGTTGCTTTTTCACTTTTACGAATTTGCTCCTCTGACAATCACCAAGCATCCTGATAAAGACCGAAGGATGCTGGACCTACATAGTTTGTTCCTCCTTCCATGTAACTAATGGAATACTGCTATTAACACTAGCATCAGACGTAATCACCCAGAAAGTGAGCGGTAAGAAGTGATAACAAATGATAAGATGTGATAACATATGGTTAGATGCAGGAGCCTCTCAAATCGTATACGGTCTCTTAAGAGGTAGGGCACAAACTTTTCTGACTGTTAGGTGGAACGGATCGTAGACGAAAAAAAGAAGTAGCAAATGACAAGATGATTAAATGTGTTGAGCCAGAGGGAGCACTGAAACTCGTGTGTGCTCCCTTTCAGACAATAGAGTTTTTGTGGTCGGATTTATTTCGTAAGATGGGGCTGGAATATAGTTAGCTGATGGTCGAAAAAGTATAGTAGTAACTGATGGGCCTACGAAGGCATCACAGAAGGCAACCCAAACTTTGTTGCTTCTATCGCTGTGAGGGCACAGCTCCGATGCAATAAAAAGGTCATGACGAAAAGTTCTCGGGCGGATATGATAATAAGCTCATCGAACTCCCTCAGGATTGCACCGTCGCTGTTTGTGTGGTCCTAACTCGCCTTGTGAAGCGCGATGTCTAGCTATGCCCTACGTAGACAAATCTCCCCCTGATGAGCTCTGGCTCCATTTCCGTGCTCTTTGCCGTCGCTTCGACACCCTTGACGAGCTTCTGTAAGCAGCCAGGCTTTCTTAGGCTTGAGTTTTCTGAAAGTGCTTGAATACGGCTTTCTTCTCGTACATGCACTGCACTCATCGTTTCAGAACCATGCTGTTTTGTCCTTGCTGAATCAATCCGAGTTCCCAGCATTTCTCGTGCACTCTGTAG